CAACATATAAACCTGGTTCCAAAAATATCAAACCTGATTCACTATCCAGACAATTCTCCGTTTCAGACAACACCAATACCGACAAACACATCCTTCCTCCCTCATTCATCGTGGGGACTGTATCCTGGAGAATCGAGGAGGTCATCCGAGAGGCTCAACAAACAGAACCTGACCCTGGTACGGGGCCCGCAAACAGACTCTTCATCCCATCAGCAGCTAGATCTGATGTACTCACCTGGCTACACACTGCAAGATTTTCATGTCACCCAGGAGTCAATAGGATGACTACCCTGACCAAGAGACATTTTTGGTGGCCTACCTTTTACCGTGACGTAAAGGAATTTGTATGAGCTTGCACTATTTGTGCACAAAATAAAAATTCCCACAGGCCTCTCTCTGGACTCCTCCAACCATTACCTACTCCTGGCAGACCTTGGTCGCACATATCCTTAGACTTCATCACCGGACTTTCACCTTCAAAGGGTAATACTGTCATTTTAACCATTGTGGATCGATTTTCTAAGGCTGCACATTTTGTACCACTCACAAAACTCCCCACAGCTTCTGAAACAGCACAACTTCTTGTTGAACATGTTTTTCGCATTCACGGGATCCCAAGCGATGTGGTGTCCGATCGGGGTCCTCAATTCACCTCCCAGGTATGGAAGATTTTTTGTCAAGCTCTTGGTGCCTCAGTTAGCTTATCATCCGGTTTTCACCCACAATCAAATGGGCAATCTGAAAGAAGCAATCAAGAACTGGAAGATGCACTCCGCTGCGTGGTACACCAGAATCCATCCTCCTGGTCTACACATTTACCCTGGGTCGAGTACGCACTAAATTCTCATGTTTCCGCTACCACAGGTCTTTCACCCTTCGAGGCTTCTGTCGGCTATCTCCCTCCACTGTTCCCTACTCAAGAGTCTGACATCTCCGTTCCATCCGTCCAACATCATCTCCGCAGGTGCAGAAGGATCTGGAGACAAACAAAAGAGGCTCTGCTACGAACGAGGGAACAAAACAAGAGGTGGCCAACAAGCATCGTATCCCTGCTCCCCCATATTCTGTTGGACAGAATGTATGGTTTCCACCCGAAACATTCCACTAAGGGAGACTAACAGGAAACTTGCACCCAGGTTTATTGGTCCATAATCCATAAGTAAAGTCATCAACCCTACTTACGTCAAACTACAGTTACCCAGATCCATGCGTATACACCCCACTTTCCTCGTCTCCCAGTTAAAGGTCTTTAATGAAAGCCCCCTCAATCCACCATCACACATTCCTCCGCCTCCTCGCCTCATTGACAACCTCCCAGCGTACACTGTTAGGCGCATCCTCAATGTGCGTCGCAGAGGTCGGGGTTTCCAATTTCTTGTGGACTGGGAGGGTTACGGTCCAGAAGAGAGAAGTTGGATCCCCAGGGCCTTCATATTGGACCAGACTTTGATTGACGACTTCTACCGGGACCATCCGGAGAAACGTCCTTAGATCGCCTGGAGGCGATGTTTGGGGGGGGGGGGTTCTGTGGAGGTTTTGTTTTTGTGCTTACTAGTTATCTTGCAGTTCATGGACTGCAGTGGGCAGAGACTGGATGGACTCACCTGGGAGCAGTTACCTGCTAATTGAGGACAAGTATTTAAGCTGCTTCCTGAGATCCATCCCGCGCTGGATTATTCAGTCACCTTGGTACTAAGCAAGACAGCTCCAGCATATTACAGACAATATATTTCTAGCTGACTAACCAAACTTGTTTTTATGTCCTTACCTGTGTCCAGGCCCTGAGTTTCTGGTTCCCTTCGTGATTGGATCCCTCTGCAGAAGAACTGTGAGTTCTGGATCCAATATCCAACCTGGAACCTTTTTGTTGTCCTCTGCCCTGCTCTCTCTCTCCGCCCTCACATACTGCTGGAAAAGATCTAAAAGAACAAGGACTAACTCTGCAAACAAATCTATATCAACAAGCCTCCACCATCTCCTCTCAGAGCCTATCTCAAGATCCACCCTGCGTAAAACAAACAAACAAATCAATATTCAAAGTCATTTAAATAC